GTACTGAAGATTTCAACTTATATTTATATATACGGTTGTTTTCAGTGTATGGTTTTCCTGTCGTATAGTATCTCATTATTTTGTATTTCAGGATTATAATGCAAAACTTTCTGATTTCGGGCTCGCCAAAGATGGTCCGGAGGGGGACTCAACTCATGTGTCCACTCGAGTCATGGGAACATTTGGGTATGCGGCTCCCGAGTATGTCATGACAGGTCAGTTTACCTAAAAACTACCCTTACTTTGATGCACGCGTCTGTATTATGCTATCTATCCCTTGAATAAGAATAGCTATTCTACCGTAGTAGATATTCCTCTCTCACGGCTAAACTTCTGCCTGTGTTTCCCATTTATTGTAGTTTTTGTGTGATTGTCTCTGGCCAGTGCCTTTCGTGACTTCAGCTACAACACAGACAATCCTGCTGAAGTCTAACAGCTCACTAGTTTTAAGAAGAGGTTATTTAGGAAGTGCAAGTAGCATTTAGGTTGGCTGATGCAAGTCAATATATAAGAATCAATATACGTAGTTCAAATTCACATCATAAGAAGTAACAATTATATATAGTGGGAATTAAGAAAGACGGAAATGCTGGCTTTAGATATGCTTTATTAGTCCTGGACCATTTAGGCTTTTTTTTTTTTTAAAAAAATCTCTAGCTTCATACCTAACACATGCACAAGATTGTCCATCGAGAAATCGAAAATCACGAGTTCTTTTTCAACTTTTGTGAGCTTGGCACTCTAAGAAGTAATAATATATATATATATATATATATATATTATAGTGATCACAACATAAACTTACAGTCAGCTCTTCAAAACTTCAATCCAATTGCAATAGTATATATGCATGTTTTCGATATAAAAAATGAAAGGTCAGATGAGGTAATTAAAAGTAAAGATACCCCAAAAATTGTGGGAATTGAGGTGTCAACCACCCATCTCTGCTACCTCTTCTACTGCCCTTCAATTTTCTCCTACTTTCCAATTTTTGTCTTATTTTTTTTATCATTATATTTTACATAAATGAGTAAAATTTTGATATCTCTTAAGCTAAAATAGTGTCGTTTTCAGTTTTTTTTATGATTTTCTAAGAAAAAGTACTCTAAAATTGGCGTGTTTTTTTTTTTAAAAAAAAATTAGATACAAGTTCTTTGAAAAATCATTAAAAAAAAAAGAGGAAAAAATCATTTTTTGCTCATGAAATATCAAAATTTCACTCATTTCATGTAGAATCTAATAATAAAAAGAAACAACAAAAAACATTTGGTAAGTGAGGGAAAGTTGACAGGCAGGACGGGGCAGCAGATGAGATGGGGCGGCTGACTGCTCAAATCCAAAATTTTAATATATTGAAGTGGCTAGGGTATTGCTGGAGCAGCAGCTGCATTAAAAGCAGACTTAATATAGAGAAATTCTTAATTCCGTATCATTTTGCTGCTTGGAAGATGAACTTTAATTTCGGAAGCCAAACTTTGTACTTAAATTCCAAGACATCCGCTAATGGGTAATTAACAAGGTGCCTGCTCATGAGTACCCGATCGAGTGTATTTCACGGAGGCCATTGATCTAAAGTGGATGGGAAAATGGCGATCTTATTATTAGTCTTTAGCAATCTGCTTATAAACGTCTAGTTCAATTTTAGGTTAAGTTTAATGGGTAATAAAGTGTCTGGTTATTTTATATGTTGGTCCGATTGAGACATCCTTACTATTTGAGACTTGTGCATTTGATAAAGCTGATGAATGTTGTTGCAGGACACCTTACTGTGAAGAGTGATGTGTACAGTTTCGGGGTAGTTCTGCTAGAATTGCTGACTGGTCGAAAGGCCATGGACAAGAATCGTCCCCGAGGCGAGCACAGTTTGGTCGAATGGGCAAGGCCCATATTTGCTGACAGAAGGAGATTCTACAGGCTGATGGATCCTCGTCTTCAAGGTCACTACTCTATCAGAGGAGCTCAGGCGGCGTCCCACGTCGCAGCTCGTTGCCTTGCCCGCCACCCCAAAGCAAGACCAGTCATGTCTGAGGTTGTTGCAATCTTAGAGCCTTTGCTTGAACTCAACGATACGTATCTCACTGCTTCAACCTCTTTCCAGTCCAATATGGCTGCTCACGGCCTATCACAGCCCGGCTCGTCCTCCTCCAGGAGCTTACCCAGCCCGTCCTCCTCCAGGAGCTTACCCAGCTCTTCCTCCTCCAGGAGCTTACCCAACTCGCCATTTCGCCCTTACTATCCGCTTCCCTATCCCAGTCCTAAGACCAGTATTCCATGACATGGATCGCTGGGACGTTTCATCTTATCTTTTGCGGCTTCATAAATAGATCTCCAGAATAAATGAGGCATAATAGGAATAGTACAGGGAAAAAAAAGAAAGAAAAGAAAAGACAAGTCTAGTTTAAACCAGCAGTTACAGACTTAGCCATGAATCATGTTGTTCAGGGAGAAAACAGATGTTGAGCTTTTCTGTGGATCGTGTTAGAGCTTTGAACTATATAATTGCTGTCTTCTTCCCCCCCCCCCCCAAAAAAAAAATGTTAATCCATGAAGAAACCTTTGCCTTGCTAGCTAACTTTCAATTTTGAGGAGTTTGGATCTTCTCCGTTTTTTGTTAATTTAAAAAAGAAATCAATACAAAATATCTGGGGCATGTGGTGCGGAGAAGAAAGGAGCAAGGTAAAATATCTCTGCAAAGTTAAATTTAGATTGAGATTAGGCCTGGCTACTTTAGAAGGCAGCATGCATAATAGTAATCCCTATGAATATATATATGAATGTGCGTGTGGGCAAGAAGTGAAATCCCGATAAAGATCTGCTTCTGCAATGTCGATTGAAACAGCGTATGTGCTTTATAATTAAAAATTAAACAAAATTATTGTACCAAAAAAATTAAACAAAATTACAAACAATTTTAAATGTGAAAATTAATTATTGTTCCGATCCCATTTAAAAATTAAACTTGTATATTTACGTATTAAATTTTTGTATTTGCAAGTGGTTACGGTTTGTAAATAATTAAGTTTTTTGGAATATATATATATATAATTCTCTGCCAATAAACGGCTTTTATATAAAGGCATTTATTATATTAATTTTTTATTGAATTTAATTTAATTCCATATTGAACTTCTATTGATTATTGGAACTCATCGCATATGAACATTTATTTTTTGCGTACTCATAAAAATCGTATTAGTAAATATGAAATGGAATGAATTAAATAATTTTTAATATGTTTTATTAAAAAAATAAAAAAAGAGTAAGCATGAAATAAAAAATACAGTAGAATAATACTTTAAAAAGTAAACGATTTAAATATTTAGTAACTCAAAGTTGGAACACTTCTAAATACTCAAGAAACCCAATAAATATATTTATCAACAGTTAGAAGAAGTTGTGAGGTGAATTTTAATATGTTACATTTTTATTTAATAGAACAAGATATTCAAACAATGTTCGGTAGTTGAGGGTAGTTCTCGCGTTTTCTGAATTTCACAGAAATTCAAATTTGAGAATTTGCACTTAAATGATCAAAGCCCCTTCCACTGATACTTGTCAGTCTAAGTTTTTTTTTTTAACTTAAAAACATTCTAATTAAGCGGTTGAAGATATATTGGTAGAAATTTACATATATCGATAAAATTTAGCTGATTGAAATATCGGCCCTACTTTGGTCAAACATAAATTTGATAATCTGAAATTTTCATCGTTATATATCCTTTTTTTGGGGCCTGCTTCACCATTTATATCAAGAAATGTTATAATTCTAACCGATGAAATTGATGACGGCAAAAAAGTAAATACGAAATTTAACTGAATATTTTAGAATTTTCGCGTTGGTTGCTCTTTTATCGTTTTATGTATGTGTGTGTGTGTAAACTGAGATTTCAACTTGTAAACTTAAATAACTTCTTCATATTAATACAAGCATTTAAATTTAAAGTCTTAACGCAATACTACTGTTACTTTTGTTTCCCTGCTTCCCATGAATGTCAGTGTGAACTCGTCTGTACCTGTGTATGAGAGTTACGAGTCTCCGTAGGGAGTATATACAAGAATTTTTCATACTTTTTTTTTTTTGCCAACATTTTTCATACATGCATCAAGGAACCCACTTTATGTGGAAAAGGAAAGTCAGGGAGAAAATTAAGAAAAGAAACGAAAAAGTATGTATTAAGAAAAGGCAAAAGAAAAAAGTTGTAAAAGTAGAATCACTTGTAATGAAAAAAAGGCAGAATCTCCGGCATTTACTTTCTGAAGTATCCTAAAACTTAATTAAAGAATCAAATTCCCCTAATTACTACTCGCTGTGGTCGTGTCTATTGTAAGTTATTTTATATGTGTAACTCATTCTCACATCTAAAGAAATTACAGCTAAATTATTAAATATTCTTAAATTGATTTTTTTAAAAAAAAAATTCTCTTTATATATTTATAAATCATTCGCATCTCTTTCTCTCTTTAGAACATAAATTAAAATAGGGGTAATATTGGAAAAAGGTCGGACTTACATTTGGCAGTTGGCACTAAACTTTTCTCTTACAAATAATTTACAATAAGCAGCAGAGTGGTATAAATTACAAAATCTGGCAGTTGCTTTTATTTTTGCCTTAATTAGTTATTACTAGATGACTAGACTCTTATCCATATTGAAACCATTGGATAAATGATCATTATTATCTCCGGTGGCTGTTTTTCCACTTTCGATGAGTTAGCTTTTTTCCTTCCTTTCCTTAACTCCCCTTTTATTCTCGTATTACGTTCTACTTCAGCTTATATGTTTTTTCTCCGAATTCTGGGCCTCCAGCTCACCCTTGTAATAATGTTAATCATCATATCAAAATCTGATGTTTAATGGGAAGTCGCCCTAAAATAAGAAAAAGGATGGGGGCAGGTGGGGGAGGAGAGGCTATATATTTGAGCAAATAAACCAATGCTTGCTGAGGATAACAACACAAGAATATATGGGAAATCACTTAAAATGGATGCTTTTGCTCTCAATGGCTCTGTTAGCCTCTCACATATACTGCCTTCCTCTCTCTGCAAGTAACAGATGGATCGTGGATTCCCGCACAGGACGACGCGTGAAGTTACTGTGTGCGAATTGGCCATCTCATATGGGTGTAATGCTGGCAGAAGGGTTAGAAAAGCAATCCATAATGCATATTATATTTCAATTCCACCATTTGGGGCTGAATTGTGTGCGTCTCACTTGGGCCACCTACATGTTCACTCGTTACTCCAATCACACCGTTCAGCAGACACTTGATTCTCTGGGTTTGGCGGACGCCAAAGCCGGCATCATCAAGCACAATCGTGTTGTGCTCAATATGACCCACCCTCAAGCCTACTCTTTTGTGGTGGATCAGCTTGCTTCTCAGAACGTCATGGTCATTTCTGATAACCACATCAGTGAGCCCAAATGGTGTTGTGCTCCCAACGACGGTAATGCTTTCTTCGGCGACAAGGATTTTGATCCCAAAGAATGGCTTCTGGGTCTTTCTATGGCGGCTCAGTTATTGAAGGGAAAACCCAATGTGAGTTCTAAACTAATCCTACAGATTCTGCCTGTGTCTGTGATTCCTTGATGAATATCCCTAATTTGCGTAGATTTTGTAAATTTAGGTGGTGGCAATGAGCTTGCGCAACGAGCTACGTGGTCCCCTTCAAAACGTCGATGTGTGGTACGAGAATATGATCCGAGGAGCACAAACCGTTCATCAATGGAACCCAAACGCAGTGATTATCATTTCGGGTTTTTACAACGACAACGATCTGAGCTTTTTGAAGGGTAAGCCATTGAACCTAACGTTTAAGGATAAGTTGGCCTACGAGGTACACTCTTACACCATGTCAGGTGAGCACAAGGATTGGAGCAAGCAGTCAGCGAACTATCTCTGCGGCAAAGTGAACAACGAATTAAACAGCAAGGCTGGGTTCCTCACCACTGGTTCCAACCCTTCTCCCCTTTTGATGACTGAATATGGAATACCATTGTCACCAAGGACAGAACCTGCTGAACGATGGTTGACTTGTATTTTAGCGTACCTCGCTGTCAGTGACCTGGGTTGGGGTTGGTGGGGATTCCAAGGTAGCTATTACCTGAGAGAAGGCCGTGTCAACCCAGGAGAGTCCTATGGATTGTTGGACTTCCATTGGCGGAAACTCAGTTACCCCGAGTTCCCTCACAGGTTCCAGCTAGTACTCAAATCGCTCCAAGGTATATATATTAATTATCTGCATTCATATACGTATCACATTTTTCAACTCAACGCTAATTATGCTTATTTAGTTTGTTATTAACACTGGTTTTAATATATACCAAGACCCAAGTTCGAAGAAGGCCATGTCGAGGATTCTGTATCACCCACAAAGTGGTCAGTGCATGAAGAAGAAGAAGCATGGTAATCAAGTGGAAGTGCATGAATGTAACAGGGTAAGTGGGTGGATTCTTGAAGGAACGCAGATCAAATTGCAGCTGAACGCACAGAAAGTGGAGTGTTTGAAGGCCACTGGGGAAGGCCAACCGGTGGAGCTCACTACGGATTGCTCGAACACGAACCAAACATCATGGAAAGCCATAACAGAGTCAGGCATGCACTGGGCTACCGTGGACGCAGAAGGCAACCGATTGTGCTTGCAGAGGGACGCCAAGTCGTCTACCGTCGTGACCGCCAAATGCATCTGTGCCAATTCTAATCCTTCGTGTATGGACAATCCCCAGAGCCAGTGGTTTCAGTTCGTTTCCACCAATGTAATGTAATCGGATTTAGTTTCATTAATAAATGATGAACCGCTTTTGGAATTAGTCAGTTAATTAAACTCTTTTCTCAATAGTTCATTTATATCTAAACCTCTTTTTATTCCCACTCTTCTACATTCATTTGATTTGACAGTTGAAGATTATTCGCTGTGGCATTAATACTATATATATATATATATATATATATATAAAGCACTTAAAGCTAGCTTGATTTCAAGCGGTTTACGTCTCATAATTATCTCATGCACAATTTGTCTCTGCCTGTACTGTGTCTGGGCGCCTTATCCGCATGAGGTGCTGATCTCCAACACTGCAATATGCTAGTCATTTAATATTTGCTTTGCGCTTTTTTCTTTTTTTTTTTTAAGATAAGATATTTGTTTGCCTTGCACAATTACATTGATTTTTTTTTTTTTGGGACCATGGCACAATTACATTGAGGGGTATCGTGTGAACCGCAAATTAAAGTGATCCATGAAGGGCATTTTTTGGTAGAAGGCCTAGGCCCAAAATTTAACCATAACAATGTTGGCATAATCGGAAGTTCATTAAAGCATGTGATCTGAGGCACATCAAAAGTCGGGTTGGGGCCATAGAAGGTTCATTGAAACAAGGAAGAGTGGGTCAGCCGAGCCTATACTATGGCCATAAAGACATGCATTTTGGTGGCGCCGAAGAATGGCTCTGTTTAATTATTTGGGCTTTATCATTTAGCTGAGCGGAGGCTTTGAGAGCCGTGGTACCGGAAGGTTGGTTGCTTGAACCACCATCCTCTTTGGAGTTGATTTAGCTGGTCTCAATATGTTATGTGTTGGTGATAGACCTGGTATAGGTTTATTTTGTTATGTCTGTATGTTTTGTTTTCAGATGTTGTTTTGGTATGTTGTTTCTGTTATGTTTCATTGTTTAGGATATGTGTGTTGTTTTCTTTGTTTCTGCACACTATCAGTGTCTAAAATGCAAAGGTTAAAAAAATAAAGAACAAGTGGAAAAAATAGAATGTCAACATATTTTAACTCAGAGATATATTAGTTATATAGTCAAAGTTGTAGAAAGAAATTTAAAAAAAAAAATTTACGGCTTAAATTTGGATGCATCATGATGATCAAAGATGCATATATCAGAAAAATTGGAGGTGAAATTTAATTTTGACTAAATAAAAAAGAGATGAAAATTGATGATTTAGATTTCTATTTAATAAATGAAGGGGTTTGTTTTTTCTTTACGAATTATGTCATGTCATCGTTTTTTCTGGCCAAAACTCTCATCATGGCATCGTTAGTAGTAAGCATGTTTGGAAGGTTAGTTGAAATTAAAGTTCTTTCTCCAAACGCAATAAAATGTTGGATTTGGAAAAAATATGTTTTTCCTTTATTACCCGACGCTAGAAAAAGTACTTTTGTGAGGTAACCAGGCACGTTGTAACACTGTCAAACAGATTTTTATAAATTATCTCATGGGATGGTTATGAGTAACCAAGAAGCCTATTTAAGCAACCTTGAACGAAACGCAAAGACACCAATCAAGTAGTAGGCTTGCAAATTATAATTAACACAAGCATGGTAAATCAACTGATTCTGCTGCTCTCAATGATGTCTCTAGCTCTGTTAGCATCCCAATCATTCAGCATTCAACTATCCGCAAGCAACAGATGGATCGTCGATTCCGGCACCGGCCAACGCGTGAAGCTACGCTGTGCTAACTGGCCATCTCACATGGGCGTAATGCTGGCTGAAGGACTAGACAAACAACCCATCGACCACATTATAAGCCAATTCCACGATCTGGGGTTGAACTGCGTGCGTCTCACCTGGGCCACCTTCATGTTCACTCGTTACTCCAATCAGACTGTTGAACAAGCGCTTGATTCTCTGAACTTGACGGGCGCCAAGGCCGGCATCGCCCAGAACAACGGCGATCTCCTCAATATGGGCCACCCTCAGTCCTATTCTTATGTGGTGGATCGGCTTGCTGCCCAGAACATCATGGTCCTCGCTGATAACCACGTCAGTGAGCCCAAGTGGTGTTGTGCTCCCGACGACGGCAATGCCTTCTTCGGGGACACCAACTTTGATACTCAAGAATGGCTTCAAGGCCTCTCCATGGCCGCTCAGTTATTGAAGGGAAAATCCAATGTGAGTGGTATGATCTATTAGACTTCATTTATATACGTACAAGGGTATCGTGAATATTATTGAAAAGAGTTTGTTCTGTTAATTCAGGTGGTGGCAATGAGTTTGCGTAATGAGTTGCGTGGTCCACTTCAGAACGTTGATGGGTGGTTCGGGAATGTGACCCTAGGAGCACAGACTGTTCACCAAGCGAATCCAGACGTGTTGGTCTTCATTTCGGGTTTGTCCAACGACAACGATCTGAGCTTTTTGAACAACAGGCCAATGAACTTAACGTTTAAGGACAAGTTTGCGTACGAGGTACACTGCTACACCATGTCTGGTGAGCACAAGAATTGGAGCAGCCAGTCGGCGAACTATCTTTGCGGCAAAGTGTACAACGAGTTAAACTCTCATGCTACGTTCCTCATCACCGGCTCCAACGCTGCTCCTCTTTTGATGACCGAATATGGCATCCCAATCTCACCATCAATAGCAGAACCCGACGGACGGTGGTTGTCCTGCATTTTAGCGTACCTTGCCGTCAATGACTTAGGTTGGGCGTGGTGGGGATTGCAAGGAAGCTATTATCTCAGAGAAGGCAATGTCAACGCAGAAGAGTCCTATGGATTGGTGGACTTCCAGTGGCAAACACTCAGTTACCCCGACTTCCCTAACAGGTTCCAGCTAATACTCCAAACACTCCAAGGTATATATGTTTATATATATATATATATATGTATGTATGTATGTATGCCTGTGTTTCTTCATCTCAACTCGAAACGGTTTCTTAGTTATTAACTGTTCTTTCCTTATATACCAAGATCCAAGTTCGAAGAAGGCCACGTCGCAGATACTGTATCACCCACAAAGTGGGCAGTGCGTGAAGAGGAAGGAGAATGGTGATGAAGTGGAAGTGCAAGACTGTAACGGGGCGAGCGGGTGGAGTGTGGAAGGAACACAGATCAAATTGCAGGATGCACAGGAAGCGGGGTGTTTCAAGGCAACTGGGGAAGGCCAACCGGTGGAGCTCACGGCGGATTGCTCAAACACGAACCAAACTTCATGGAAAGCCATAACAGAGTCAGGCATGCACTGGGCTTCGGTGGACGCACAAGGCAATCGATTGTGCTTGCAAAGGGATGCCAATTCGTCCACCGTCGTCACCGCCACATGCATCTGTGCCGATTCTGATCCTTCGTGTGTGGACGATCCTCAGAGCCAGTGGTTTCAGTTTGTTGCCACCAATGTGATGTAATCGGATTTATTTTAACTAAACGGAAATCCCATGGTTTAATTAAACGAAAGATTATTCGCTATGATGACGTGAAAGTTGAAGCCGGCCCTATAACCGTTTTGTTTTATACTCCCTCCATTCATTAAGACGTTTGATATTTATGGCATATTCCTATATATAAGAGATACTTAAAAGTTGTCTCTATTTTTTGTGTGTTGATTTCCTATTTTACTCATATTTATTTTGTCTCCAACTCACACTCCTTCTCCTTTCCACTTCTCTTTCTTTTAATAATTTAATTCTTCTCTCTTATGCTCTCTCTCTTTATTAATGAGGGTATTCTTGGGAAAAAAATTATACTTTTTATACATTAATTGTTTTTAACTAATTTTAACTGTTTTTTTATTAACGTAATTCAGTTATTCGTCTCTTATAATAAGGAACGGAGGGAGTATTTATTCAATATTCCTTCAATTTTTTATGAAATTTAAATGATAAAGAAATGGTGTATTTTTTTAATTATAAAATAGTAATTTAATTTCATATTAATAAATTTTATTTATTAGTAATTCATTATCTTTCCCGTATTGGAGAAATATCTAATTAAAGAAATAAAAAAAAATGAAGTCAGCCTAGGGGCAAACTCAAAATGAATGTGGGCTACGCTAGGGCAATTTGCAACCCATCGATGTTTCCAAGCCTTAAAGTCCAAGCCCGTTTATCTATCTGTAAAAAGGTCAGTGCAAAATCGGCATCGGCATGGATCATGCAGTTAATTTTTGTTTTTTTCCCTGGATCATGCAGTTAATTTGAAACCTGTAAGGAGTAACGCAATATATCTGTGTAAAAAAATTATAATTTTGTTTGATTAAAATTTATTTTTGATCAGAGTATAGATGATATGATATTAGAGAAACCAATACTCTGTTTTTTTTTTTTTTTAACAGAGAATGCCAATCTGCACCGTCGGCCGGAAGGAGCTAGTTTATTCTGTGTTTTTCTCTCTATTTTCCCTAAAAAAACGTATAATTCTCCGTAATGAAAAATCATAAATTTGAATTACCTATGATATCGTTATCACAGTATTAAATATCAATTCTTTTTGGTTCAAATGGCCGAAATTTATAAGGCAAAGCTAAGCCAGGGGAATAAAAAATTTCATTTAAAATATAATTTATTTAGCAAAAATGTCCCCTCTATGCGCCTAAAAGTGTAAACCATGTTGCCAGCAAATAGCAGTAACGGTGCTCCCTACGATTCGCTATAATTAATTCATTCGAGAACAGTACAGGATATTATCATATTATAATTTTATTTGAAAATATCAACGATTGTGACTTAGAATGTAAAGGAAAAGTAAGTGATTGTTGACATTAACAATTGAGGCTGGATATTTTATTTTCAATAATGGTAAAGAAAAATGTGCCGCAGGTAGGTAAGCAAGAGCATTGGCCAAGGAATGATCTGTAATGTACAGTAATAAGCACACAGATTAATTAGTGATGCTCGTGTTTAATATTTTAGTTGTTATATAAGTCGTCGTATGATCCTCTTGCGAGGCGCCAAGAGTGGAGTATTTTGAATGTCAGAAATAAAGCAAAGAACGATGGAGCGCTACTGTGAAGAAGAAGAAGAAGAAGAAGTGGAATTCCCAGTGAGTCCAATGGGACAATGTTTCAACAGCTCTGCGCTATGCATTTACATTATCGGCGTTTTGGAGTTGCAGGTTCCATTTGATCACTCTCAAGCTATTCCTCTCCTCCAGCGTCTTCTCCTTCCCATCAACCCTCGCTTCTCCTCCATCATGGTCCTCTCTTTCTCTCTCTCGTCTCTCTCTTTCTTCATATTTTGTCTTGTCTGATATATAATTCTCATGCATATGCAAGAAGGCCTTTTAAACCGATATGATCGATGTGAAAACATTTTACCCAGTGTTATACACAAGACATTTTTGGCTACTAATTCATCATCTTCACTTCTTTTCCCCTCTTCATCATATCATCCATATGTAATGCACAATAATATTCATTCTTTCACAGGTTAAACACAAAAGCGGGGAGAAACGATGGAGAAAAATACGAGTGAAATTGAAAGATCATATCAACATCCCCTTATTCCCTGAAAGCAAGTCAAAGCAATCATATGACAATTATTTTGCTGATTATTTGTCCAGAATAGCAATAGAGAAGCTTCCAGAAAATAAACCATTATGGGAAATTCACACCGTGAATTACCCTACAAGCAGTGCAGCAAGTAGCCTCATATTCAAACTCCACCACGCTCTTGGAGATGGCTACTCTCTCATGGGTGCTCTTCTTAGTTGTCTTCAAAGGGCCGTTGATCCCTCTCTTCCTTTGTCTTTCCCTTCTCTCAAACCATCCAAGTCTGCCAACAAAAGCTTCTTCAGCAGATTTTCTTCGGTCATGTCATTAGCCTGCAATACTCTAGTAGATCTCTGGTGGGGCTTAACGAACACTACTGCCATTGAAGATGACAAGACGCCCATCAGGTCCGGATTTCAAACAGGGGAAACTCGCCCAGTCACCATATCAACCATCACATTCTCGCTGGATCAAATCAAACTTATCAAGTCCCGACTTGGAGTGGTATGACTTCTCATCAATTTCTTCACTTTGCTGAAACTCTGATAGTTTTTGCTTCTCAGTTACTCATATAGTTTTTATATGCATCACTTACAGTTATCCATATATATAACCCTCCTTTTCTTTTCTTTTTTAATTCCCAGTATAGACTGTAAATGATGCGATTGTTGGGATAGTCTTCTATGGGACTCGACTGTATATGCAAGGCGTTGACAACAAGTCAGGGGCTGCAAAATCCACCGCATTAGTATTGATGAATACGAGAAATATTGAATGTTATCAGTCAGTCAACGATATGCTTAGTGCTCATCAGGCTAAAAGATCGTGGGGGAATCGAGTTTCTTTCGTGCATGTGCCGATTCCGAAATCAGAAGGCAAAAGAATTTCAAAGCAACTAGACTTCATTTGGGAAGTGCATCATATAATCAAGAGTAAAAATCAATCTTTGGTTGTTCCTCTCAACGGGATGCTTTTGGATATGAAGAGTAAACTTAAAGGTTATGAGGTATGAGTAGGCACAATATTTAGATCAATGGAAGAGTTAATATTATTTTTAATCCTTAAAAATTTATTTTATTTTGGTTTTGATTCTCATTTGAGAGATACCAAAAATTTATAGCTGTATTAAAACGAAGTCAAATTTTAGAGACCACTATTATTGGTTTCAAATTTCAAGAATCAAAATTAAAATAAGATCAAATTTCAGTGACATTCACTCTAAACTCAATATAAAATTATATTTTCACTGATTACAAGATAAGGATATATCAAGTGAAGTTTAAACCATATGCATATATAACAAAAAAAAATTCTCAGAGTTAAAAAAGCTAAAAACAAACTTAATAAAGAAACTGTTAGATATTTGGTTATCAAAAAATACTACCTCTGGTCCTTAATATAAGAATTTGTTTGATTTTTATTTTGTTTATAAATATAAGATCCTAATCCATTTTGTCTCTTATATTTATCTATTTTTTTAAGATAGTCTTTATAATAATAGTAATTCTAGCCAATACATTTGATTAGCGATGATATTTGAAAAAAATAACACTTATTTATTGTAAATAACTAATTTAACTATTTTTCTTAATCTATTTAAATTAGTTAATTAACACTTATATTAAGCACTTGAGGTAATATTTATTATTAATCTTAATTATCCTATTTCACGGATGTCAATTAAATTTCTGAATAATCATAAGTGATCTTTATAGGCAGTAGCCAAACATGTTTATAACGCAGCGACAAAGTCAAGTGCAACAATTACAAGCTTGATTGGACCGTCACAACAGATGTCTTTAGCCAATCATCCTGTAAATGGCTTCTGCTTCACGGTGGCCGGAGGTCCTGAGGTATTTTCTTTTTTAAGGGAATATATATATAATGATTTTATTAATAAATCTAATAAAAGTAATTTTTTGGGCCAAAGTAATAAAAGTAATTAAAAAAATTTATTGATGAAGAATATTAAAATTCCGGCTATATCAGAAGTTTGACTAATACAGATCATATATTGATGGTGAAATGCGAAAATAACTTTGTAGTTACTGAACATTAGCATGATATAAAAATTAGATAACTAATTTATAAATATTAAAAAATTTAGTGGAGTTAGTTATGTATCAGAAATGGATGTTGTTTTTCTTAGAATACATCTATCAATTATGTGCATTGAGATTACTCCTTGATGAAAATTGCTTAAAATGTTCGGTCATCATAGATACTACTCAAAAATAAAATGGATAAATATTGAAAAACAAGGTATATTGAGTTTTATATTTAAGGTCTAATTGAATATCTAATTATCTAATTAGTTCTTATGTTAATTATGTTAAGTTCTAGGGTTGGATTGTGGAGGTAGTACATTATATCACTGTTAGATTTAGTCTCTCCGGGTAAAGCCCAAACAAATATGATCGATGACTTTTATCAAAAAAAGAGAGTCACAAACATCATCAATCACTTGCAAAGTTATTGACTTCTTTGATAGAGCTAATTAACGGCGTTGAGATTGTATGGGTTGCAGAGCCTTCTGATATCCATAATGAGCTACATGGGAAATTGGGAATTCTAAAGGGTGACACTTAAGACAGATAAATATTTCATAGACGAACCCGAGCTAAGGCCCCACATCGAGCGCGCTTTTGAGGCCACACTCAAGGCAGCTCTCAACCAAGCATAAAGGTCAACTAGGAGCAAATATTCCTCCACGGTGCTATATAATTTCCAAGATTTAATTTATCTATCTCTTCACTTGCACTATTACTGTAAAATATCCTATGACTGTATCTATATGGATAATGTATGAAATGCATTGTATGAGAGGCATGATTATTTGATATCATGCGTAGTATATTCTGTATGAGATATGATGAATAATAAGACATTAATTTGCACCATACAAAGAAATTAAGGACCACGTGGGTAATTACTTAAAAAAATCATTTGGAATTAATTTCTTTAGTCTCAATCAGAATAAATTTAATGTTGTTCTTTTTCCTGTTATATTCTCTTACTTCTCTTTG